TCCAACTGCGGTCTGACCAGCGCCTGATAGAGGGGAAGTATCACCTCCTTGGACCTATTCGTCATGCATCTGCTGATGCACGATAAAGTGCCATTAGCTTTTCTGATGGCTTCGTCACACTGCCGACTGATGTTCATCTTGGAGTCCACTAGGACTCCAAGATCTCTTTCCACTTCCGTGCCACCCAGCAGGTCATTCCCTAGGCTGTAGGTGTGCTGGACATTTTTCCTCCCTAGGTGCAGCACTTTGCATTTCTCCTTGTTGAATTGCATTCTGTTGTTTTCTTCCCACTTGTCCAATCTGTCCAGGTCTGCTTGCAGTTGTTCTCTGCCCTCCAGCGTGTCCACTTCTCCCCACAGTTTTGTGTCATCCGCAAACTTGGACAGAGTACACTTCACTCCCTCGTCCAAGTCGCTGATGAAGACATTGAAGAGTATCAGTCCCAGGACCGAGCCCTGCAGGACCCCACTGCCCACACCCTTCCAGGTCAAAACCGACCCATCCACCATGACTCTCTGGGTGCGACCCTCTAGCCAATTCGCCACCCACCAGACTGTGTAGTCATCCAAGTCACAGCCTCTTAACTTGTTCACCAGTATGGAGTGGGTTACCGTGTCGAAGGCCTTCCTGAAGTCTAAGTATACGACATCAACCCCTACTCCTGTGTCCAGGCGTTTCGTGACCTGGTCATGAAAAGAGACTAGATTAGTCAGGCATGATCTACCTGCTACGAACCCGTGCTGGTTTCCCCTCAGCATAATTAAGCCTGCCGGGCTCTCGCAAATGTGAGCCTTGATAATTTTTTCAAAGACTTTGCCAAGGATGGAGGTGAGACTGACAGGCCTATAGTTGCCCGGGTCCTCCTTCCTCCCCTTCTTGAAAATGGTCCTCCCCTTCTTGAAAACATCAGCAAATCCAAGCCCCTTGGATATCCATAGTATTGAACCTGAAGCACATAGACTGCAACTGAGGCTGTAAAAACCCACCCATGAGCCTGGGTCCTTAGCAGCTAGCCTGTGCTCTGACATTGTTACCACAGCTTCCTGAGTGAGGTAAGGCGTATTGTGAGGGTGTTGACATGCACCACCGTCACAGTTTGGATTGCAGAGTAAGCGCAGGCTGAGCCTGAAAAGGCTTTCTTTTCCTAAAAAACAGATGCAAGTGGGGGAAAACCAGAGATTAGAAAAGGAGGAGTTGAATATACATGTGAGACTAAAAATTAGCATTACCAGGTGCACCTACACATGTAGTTAACTGCACAGTAGACTAATTTGTTGCAGTGTAAAGTGTTACAGTCTACATATGCAATACTATTAGACTGCAGCAAACTAATCTTTGCATCTATAAGATAGTACTGTCGAGAAAAAAATACTATGACATCAAAAAGAACTGTGTGTAAGCCCAAGTGGGTTCTGGGTGTACATTGTGGACCTGGGTGTACACTGTGCCTGTTCAGCCCAGTCAGCAGGCAGCAGGCAGCCAGACCCCTGCCTACTGCCTAGCCACATGGCTCTGCATGCTGGGGTATTCCTGTACCCCAGCTAGCCCCTCTGCTGCCCAACCAGGACTCCTGGAGCCTCTGGCTGACCCCCTTGACCACCTGCCAGGCTGGGCTGCTTTACTCCAGCTCAAACTGCTGTAGCATCTTCATGTACGCCCTGGACTGCAGCAGATTGAGCATCTACATGTGCCACTAAGGCACTGTGATAGACTCAAGTGCAAACTGTGCCAGAGTTTATCACATTGCCTTAATGGCATATCTAGATGAGCCCACAGTTGCTTTCTCAAAAATGCTTGTTCTGCTCTTTTGGTTACATAGATAGGAAAGAGGGTAATGTGACTAGTGTGAGAAGCAAGGCACTTTTTTTTTTTGGTGATATCTTTTATTGGACCCACTGTATAGTTTTGAGAAAAAAGGTTTTGTGCACAAAGTGCCTTTCCACAGGTCTAGGAAAGAAGCAAAGTTAGCTTGCCTAACTTGTTTCCCCAACTATACAAGTAGTCTCATAAAAAGTATTACCACAGACTTTGGTTCTCTCATATCTCCTGGATCATCAGAGCTACAACACTCTGAATTACTACAACATGTGTACTGGCATTTGTTTTTGATGCTCTCTTTGTCGGATGTAATTGATCTGTCATCAGTTCTGAAATCTCAGGGACTGCAATGCCACCAAAAGATCGCAGCCAAGAGATCCCAACACCAATCCTGTCTTAAAGAATGACCACAGTCTCAGTTTGGTGGCAAAAGCTCAGCAAGTTTTATTGTCTACAAGGCAGGGACCCAACACACTTGTGACCTGACACACAACATGTTAACACATGTTTGCCCATCACACAACTCCATGTGCCATTGGCACAACTCCATGTAGACTCCCCAAGGGCAAAACAAAGTTTCTATAATTTCTAATACTCCTTTTATACAGTGATCAAACCAAATTATGTACTACACTCCACCAATATCTTCAATATCTTGAGCTTTCCTGTACCATAGGCTTGTTCCACCTCCTGAACTGGGTGTTCCCATTCCAGCTTCATCATCCTGGTTCTGGTCTATTCTACACCATGTCCAGCAATCGCCCACTCGCATCTCCTGACAGGAGTGAACATCTGGGCCACATTCCAAGTTTTGCTTATGCAAGGAGTTCATGCGTCACTCAGGTTTGCTGATCAGATCTACTCTGGCCAACAGTTTAGCAAAGCCTTTGTGCATGCAGCATACATATTAATCAGCGTTCCAGTGAGGCCAACAGTATCCTTCATGTAATTATACAACTTTCACATCTTGAAAGCAGCATCAGCCTTCTTAGTGTGTTCCTTAATCAGTCGTGTTTATACTCCCTGACATTTTATCATGCGAGCTACTTGATTTTGAAAGTTCTATCCATTTGTTTCCTATTAGTGTTATTCCTCAGTATCTTTCCCTGTCCAAAAAAAAAAGCACCATCATCAATGTTGCCTTACTGTTTTGCTTGCTTTACAGGGACAAACCCCAACACCTCTTCGGAAAAGGACACCAGCACAAAAACTAAATAGGAGTCAAAACAATGGAAACGTGTGTAGAGCATTAGTCCAAGATGTGAAAAAGAATGAGGAGGCCAATTTCCATGACAATTCACTGGAGGGTATTAAAGAAATAGATAATTAAATTTTAAGAAATTAAGACAGGGGTGAAGTTTAACTACTGAAAATGAGCAAAAGGTGGCTGAGAGTGCTCCTGAAATCCTGAGACTTTCAGTTCAGTACAAATGCTGAAATGTCCAGTAATCTTTGGCTATTTTTCTTGCCCATAATCTTTTTATTCCATCCACCTGTTGACAAACTCAATCCTTTGGCGACCCAGGGAATAGGGGACAATCTTGATGTTCAGTAATCAATCTGAAAGGGCTCTGTCTTATTCAGAGCAACCAAATTTAAAAATAACAGAGAGCAATCACAATGGTATAACGCAGATTTTCAAAGTCTTATTACCAACCTACTTTTTAAACTCATAAGTAATTGTCACTTGGTTTGAGGTGCCTCTCTCTGTCACTTATATGAGTGTTTGTGAACATAACATGAATAGTACCATAGGGCACCTGTACATGCTATAGGTTTAGTCCTAATTAAATTAAATGGGTTTATAACATTTGAACTTGTTTATTTTGGAGCACTGCATCAATGTTTGCACATACAGGGCTTTCAAATGAATTAAGCCTGGTGTACAATTCCCTGTAAATTCCATTAGGGAGAGCCATATAATAGTCCATCCTGCTGATCTCTTTGCTACTCAGTTACAGCAGGGGGTGCCAGCAAACCAGTAATCCCCTCACTCCCAGAACACTCATACCCACCCTGCCCCAGCAAGCTGTAGCTGTCCCACACCAAGCTACAGTTGCCTGCATGGTCATCACCCCCCCACCCCCCAACATAGCCTGGCATGGATGCCCCACCCTGTGCCTTGCTGCCTGCAACTACCCAAAGACTGTGCTTACTGACAGTGGCGCCATCACCCCATAATTCACCCCTGGTTCCATCAAAGAATGAATAACTGCTCGGTCACCTAAGGAGTGCACCTTGGAGTGCTTTCATTTGCCCTTCAATGCAAATGGTCCCCTCCCACTCACAGGACTCCCCAGGTCCAAACAGGCTAGGTCCAAAATGAGAGGCATCATATTAGATTAATTTATTTTCCAGTGTGTGCAGGGATTCCTGCCCCATCCCCAGATGACCTGCAGTTTTTATTAAAATTACTGGTTCTACCAGTATCCACCCCACCCCCGTTTAGGTTAATTTGCTGCTAACTGACCATATTCTTCCTTCAGCAGGCTCCTTTGGCCTGCTGCCTCGCCCCCTGGGCAGCACTGGGGGAGGGGGCAAAGCCAGGTTTTGATGAAGGCAAATTACAGGTGGGAGATGGGACAGTTTGTATCAACTTACTTGTGAAACTTAAAGGCTGTGTAGGCATTTATACTGCTTGGAGAATGAGAGGGAACACTCCTAGAACAACGTGTGGCCCATCACACATGGGCTCTCAGGCTCCTCTGTCTCATATGTGAAGCAAGTCTGCTGGTTCTTGGCCCTAGCAGGCATGTGGCCCCAGCAAGCCAGGCTATGGGGTCTCCAGGTTATGGCTGTCTGCTCTCCTGCTCTCCTTGCCCCCTCAGTTGGTTTCCTTCCTTGCCAGGTTCTGCTTCCAATTCAGCCCCATACTCCTTTACCAATCTACTGCCCACTCCAAGCCCACAGTGCACCTTGGCCCTCTGTATTGAATTATATGGCTTCATTATCTCAGTGCCAGAAGGACAGGGGATATGTCAGTGAGAGCTCAAAAAAGACAAGTTCCCTGCTCTCAGTTTTAGAGTCAAAATGGGGAAAGTCCAGCCTCATGCCTGTAGGTCACAGGGGGTGAGGGGACTGTTTTTTTAACATTGAAACACAGTTTGTTTTTCCCTACCTTTCTTCCCAGAAACAGCCGAGCTCTTTTGGCTGAATTCTTCCAAAACCACAGATCAGAGGAAGATATGCAACACATTAGACATTACTCTGATTTGTTAAAGTTTAGTGATTATTAGCAACTATATTCCTTACAACGGGAAATGTCTGGCAGCCTTTAGTAATAGGTGGCATGCTACCAGGTCTGCCTTTCATTCAAACTGTACCCTTTCTACCTATACACCTTAGGATTACCATACGTCTGGGTTTTCCCAGACATGTCCTCTTTTTTGGCCCCCTGTGCTGTGTCTGGGCAGGTTTTTAAAATAAGAGCAAAGTGTCCAGGTTTTTTGCTGTTCCTTTGTGTTCCAGGGCTGGCTGCTTGGGCCTGGGAGTAGTGGACAAGGTGACTGGCTGTCGGGGGTCACATGCTCCCCACCTGGGGCCCAGCGAGCCAGAGAGGGAGAGAGAAAGCGCATGTGCAATGCGGGAGCTGCTTGGGCAGCAGAGCTGTGTGGGGGCAGGGGCTGCAGGTTGGGAGTGAGGGGCATTGGCAGGGTGGGAGGGGCAGGGGGGCAGAGGCTGCAGGTCCAGAATGCATGACACCAACAGCGCTCAGGGGGAAGGGGCTGCAAATCTGGAGTGTAGGGCACTGGCAGGGCTTGGGGGCAAGGCAGGGGGCTGCAAGTCAGGAGTGAGGGGTACTAACAAGCTGTGGGGGCAGGGGCTGCAGGTTGGGAGTGAGGGGCATTGGCAGGGTGGGAGGGGCAGGGGGGCAGAGGCTGCAGGTCCAGAATGCATGACACCAACAGCGCTCAGGGGGAAGGGGCTGCAAATCTGGAGTGTAGGGCACTGGCAGGGCTTGGGGGCAAGGCAGGGGGCTGCAAGTCAGGAGTGAGGGGTACTAACAAGCCTGGGAGGGCAGGGGCTTAGGAGTGAGGGGCAAGGCATGGGCATATCACTGCCCACCCCCCTTCTTTTTTGATGCTGGAAATATGGTAACCCGAATGGATCATTGCTAATATTACCATTAGGTCTACTGCAAGTTGTAAACCTAATTCTTATAACGGAAAAATATTGCTACTAATAAATAACTGATGATAACATAAACTTTGTTTTTTACATTGCTGGTAATGACTTGCCACAGTATCAACATCATTGGTCATAATATAAACAGTACAGCTACTGAAATATACAAGACATTCACTCATTTTTGAAGAGTGATGTTGCTAAAAGTAATATTGGAGCATATTTAGTGGAACTGGATGCAACTCACAGTCTGTAGGGGCTGATCCCAAAAGGTGTGGAGCAGTGTCAAGTTATGTGGAAATCAGTAAAAGTTGAAGGGTCTCAGCATCTTCACAGATCAGACCTCTTATAAATACCTGTTACAGAATCAGTTCTGTGGCTCTAGCAGTGCACAGGCACAGGCGTCATTCTTCTTTGTTCAAAAAAGTATATATCAAATTAAACAGCGATGAAGGTAACAATGTATGTCTACACTGCTAACCGCAGTGCAGTAGAGAAATGCACAGGCTAGCTATAAATGAGGTAAGCAGGGCAGTGTGTCACCTTACAGACTAAGTCTGAGAAGTGTGGGCTTTCATAGGCTGCAGCCCACTTCATCAAATGCTATTCATGTATATGATGAAGTAGGATGTAACATACAAAAGCACATACCTCTCTGAATGAGTTAGTCTATAAGATGTCACACTGCCCTGCCTTCTGCCTAAGCTTCAGACTAATATGACTAAACACCTCTCTCCCTAAATGAAATAGTTCAGGTCCTGGAATGTATTTTCTTTTTCAGCAAGGTAAATGAGCCCTCCCTGAGTTCCATGCTGCTGCAGCTCGAGTGCTTCCAGTACCCAGGTTAGCTCATACTAATTTGACTATTTTTGCACTACAATACAATCTTCAATATAGAAATATCAAAGGGAAGGAAAAATCATAGGAAAGGTCCTTGGTATATTACATCTTTGAAGTCATTTCTGATTAGCATGTGCAAGAGCCTGTAATAGGGTTACCATATTTCCAGTATCAAAAAAGAGGGGGTGGGGAGGAGGAGGAGGGGAACTGCTGCTGCTCCTTACTCCCAACCCACAGATCCCAGCTTTCCCCCTCACTCCCAAACCGCAGTACCCTGCCCCCCTGGACCATGATGGTGCCCCTCACTCCTGACCCAAAGCCCCCCACCCCTCAGCCCTGCTGCCCACACAGCCCGCACGCTTGCACACACAGGGAACAGCTCTAGATTATAACTTTTATCATAACAGACTCAGTGCATGAGTGCTCAGCAACTTAGGAGCAAGCACAAGGACTTTTGTGGCAAAGACATAGGCAGGCAAGGTTCTTTGGGTAGATGAACACTCATGTAGGTTCCTGGCTGTATTACAGGACCTTCACCTTATCCAGGAAGTGCACAGCCCCCCTAGGGGTAACACCTTGCTGGACCTGTTCCTGGCCACAGGGGATGACCTGGTGAGGGGACTGCAGGTCCTTGACCACCTGGGCAATAGCGATCATCACCTGCTGGATTTCACTATCCAACACAGGGTGTCAAGGGCTTACACCAAGGCTAAAGCCCTTGACTTCAGAAGGGCCAACTTCAATGAGTTTAGGAGACTAGTGGGGGAGGCACTGAGGGCTCAGAAGGCAGAGGAGATGGGAGTCCATGAGGGATGCTCGTACCTTAAGGGGGCGATCCTCCAGGCCCAAAGGATAACAGTCCCCGAGAGAAGCAAGCGGGGTAAGAGTGCTCAGAAACCCCCTTGGCTCAGCAAGGGCATTCAGCAATGCCTGA